ATACTCTTTATGGGCTTTGCAAGAGGTAACTCGTCAAAGTAGAACCCAATATACGAAAATTTCGTCCGTTTTGCCCTCTTGTACCGTTTTAGCGCTATGGGGCATTTCTTGGCGAAAAGAACGTAAAAAAGACAAAATGGTCTATTAAACCGTAAAAGAGGTTTCATGTCACAGAATAGGGTGTTCCAGGCAATCTAAAACGGAAGAAGGAAAAGAACAAACTCACTGACCTTTCTGTTTCCGTTATGGCTCTGATTGGTCGAGCTTATCACGTGCCTCCGAGGCCTTTTAGGTATGAGAAACTGTCAGATCAGTTTCGAGCTCCCCTCCATATTTGAGAGGTTAGGATCGGACCAAACTGCCATGGTAGTTTCTCATACTGGGCGGACGGAAACAGATAAATCAGTGAGTTTGTTCTTTTTCACTTCCGTTTTAGATAGCCTGGAACACCCTATTGTTAACTGAGTAATACTTAAACCACACATTAGGGGTCGACCCACGCTTTTGGGGGGGCTTAAGGGTCCCTAGATTATCGAGTATCACTATAACGTTGATTTTTACAAAATAATCTGTCAAAATTCGAACTTTTAATGAAAACATTTATCGAACAGCAGAAGTTTCATTTCCCTAATCTTAGAGTAATAAGTCCCCGACAAATGCTGTGAGTATGTCAAATTTTGGTGCCGGAAGGCCCTGTTCCCGTGTACCCTCCCATTAACTAGTCTCCTGTATCAGCGCCGCAGGCTTAGCTATATGTGCGCCAGGCGCTTCGCAGCGTAACAGTGTTTCGTGAGATATCGCGAAGCCTGTTACGCGAGACGTGGTCTGGCTTCGCTAATTGGCTGAGCGATTAGCGAAGCCCATTCTGTACTGACCGAGAAAGCTTCATTCTGTTTGTTTGTCTGTCTGTCCGCACGATAACTCGAGAACGAAATAAGATAGCGATCTGGGAATTTCAGGGTCGTTTTGTATCATAAAATATAGGGTATTTCAGAGCTGGAGGTGAAAAAGTAAAATGGAAGAACAAAACGCGCACTGCGCATGAGCAGACGACCCCCACTCCAACCCCTTGCCTCCCCCACTCCGCGTCAGCGCATGAGCAGTGCGCGTTTTGTTCTTCCGTTTTACTTTTTCACCTCCAGCTCTGAAATACCCTATACGGGAACAAAGCCTTCCGGGCCCAAAACTTGACATACTCGAAGCATTTGTCGGGGTCTTTCTACTCTAAAATTAGGGACATAAAACTTCTGCTGTTCGACAACGGTATTCATTAAAAGTTCGAATTTTGACAGATTGTTATGTAAAATTCAACGTTTTAGTTGGCTGAGCGATTAGCGAAG